ACTCATTTTAGTGATTGTCCACTGGAGTATACAGATCCTATCCAATTATTAATTAGTAAATGTAAAAATGAATCACCAGATCAGCCCTACACTGTGTTGATCAGGCAGAAGAAGACGAGCTTTTCACATGTTAGGGTTCTTTTAGCTGCCGATGCTACAAGTTATTCTGAAAAAATATTTCTAAAAAGTTATTGAATTGCTTATTTGTATCTATAAAGTTATTTCTAATACGGTCTGAAAACCGCTTATAAATGAAAAATCTACAAAATGTACAGATTGTTTTTTTTTATCTGATGGTCAGGATCATTGAATAATAAAACAGAAGTTGTTTGAAGGCCTGATCAGAACTCGTTTTAAAAGCAGGCTACCTGCAGGGAACTGCTGGATGGGCACAGAGGGAACGGCGACGCCCTCGGACCAGTCGGTCACCTCAGGCTGGGCGAACTCAGCCTGCGGGGCGGTCCATTCGCCCTGGAACTCCTCCTTCACCACCGCCTTCTCGGCTGCGGCCTGCTCCTCCTTCTCGATCTGAAACGAGTTTCAAATCAGAACGCAGCTTAGCTCCGCAACATCCAGACAGCTAAGTGATCGTAGTGAGGCGCTGCGCTCCTCCTACCTCCTCAGGGTCTCTGTAGAAGTACAGATCAGGCATGACCTCCCACGGGTGTTCCCTGGAGATGGTTCCCCTCATCCGCAGAACCTCCCTGGCCAACATCCACCACATCAGACCCACAGAGTGGTGACCCTGAAATGCAGAAAGTGATTAAAACATCATACAGCCTGCAGACACGCTCTGCAACATGACGTCATGAAAACAGAACAGCAGCATTGTGCCCGTGTGTAAAATTTCTGAAGTGTACACAATGACACTTCTCTGAGCTCCGCCCCTCACCTTGTTGTTGCAGGGGATGGCGATGTCCACGTATCTCAGTGGGGAGTCGGTGTTGCACAGGGCGATGGTGGGGATGTTGACGTAGGACGCTTCGGTCAGCGGCTGGTGGTCAGCACGAGGGTCCGTCACAATCAGGAGGCGGGGCTCCCTGAAGGCCGCCTGGATCTGATTGGTGAACGTGCCGGGAGTGAAGCGGCCATGGAAGGTGGTGGCTCCGGTGGCCGAGGCGAACTTCAGCACAGCCCTCTGCACAGGAAACGCAACAACGCTTCAGGAAACGCGCATTTGTGTTTGTAATGTTTGTTACAAATTTTTGAAGAATTTGATACAAAAACTTTGATTTTAATTTAATCGCAGATAACTGATGCTATACAAACACAAAAAATAAAAAATAATAACTGGATTTTCATGTTTCCATACATCATTTCCCCCATTATTTTTCAGCCTTTATAATCAAATTTCATCTCTAATCTTGTATATTTACATGATGAGCTGTGGCTCGGGGTGTTATCAAACCCCAGTCATCGGACGGCCGTCCTCCTGGCGTTAGCGAAACCCCCGATCCGCTTTACTTTTGCACACTTCCGACACCAGAACACTCACATCAGCGCCCGGCTTTAACAGTGTGCATTCACTCTTAATCTCACGTGTTTTTTGTTGTTGTCGTTTTTACCTGGCCAGTGTTCCTGGAGGAGATGACGCACACATCCGCCGGGTTCTCAATGGCAACAATGGCCCTGGCCGCCAGCAGCAGCTTCTCCCAGGTCTTCTTCAGGTTAATGATATAAATACCTGAGAGCAAAAGAAACAAAACTGTCAATCTGGACAGTGTTTGAGGTAATGCTAACCATTTCGTCATCACGTGGCTGATCGTTTCTAGCGCATACCGTCGCTTTTCCTCTTGTAGACGTACTGCTCCATCTGGAAGTCGAGGTTCATGCCTCCCAGGTGGGTTCCTGCAGCCAGGAACTTCAGCACATCCTCCTCCTTCATCTGAAGGACATCCAGACTTCCGGACATCGTGACCACTTTCCCTGCGTTACGAATTCAGTGGGAGAGCTGCAGGAGGAAGACAGAGCGTTTAGGGTCACGCCACAAATTACACAATCAAAATGTAAAGTTGCTCTTTACTTTTAATGTAATTTTATACTCTTGGTTGCTTAGTGGCCAACTTATTCACATGACCAACTATATCAACCCACTTTAACTTATAGTAGCTTGTAAGTCTGAGGAAATTTAGTCAACACTCAAATTAGCAAGCGAAAAAGTTGTTCAAAGCTATTTAGGTTTGATTAGGTCGTAATTTGTAATAATTTTACAATTTCAATAATTTCATATCCAACTTTTGCTAGGACGTAGTCTAATTTCATTCAGATTTATCCTCCAATTTGCGAACCTTAGACTGGTGCCACTCTGACGTATTGCATTCTATATTTTAGCATTGTAAGAATATTACTACTTTAACTATATTTATTTCAGATGGGTCAACCAGTAACATCAAACTACTGGTCTGTGAAAACAGTAAACTACAGTACAGCGAGACTAAATTGTTAGCTTAACGGAGGTTTCCCATTCAGTATCAAACTTTTTTTAGTTGAAGAAAATTAGGACTATTCTCTATGGCAACGTATTAAGCTACAAATAGGAAGTCACGTAGAGCAAAAAAGCATAGCTGCTACATGAACGCGTGTCCGGGGCTAGCGAGTTAGCTTAAGGCGTTAGCATTTTTGTGAACGTGGAAATAAATAGTTTGGTATGGCACATAAGTGGTATTAATGTGCTCTCGTCGCTTCATGATAAAACAACCCAGCACTCATTTCTGTCACTGGTCTTATTTTCTGTCGCCTTATTGATGAAATAAGGCCGTTTAAAACTCACCACGAAACAACGCCGTATGGAAATCTGAGCACACGGTGAAAAAGAGGGCGCCGGGAGGAAATGACGTAGATTTTATACTCGATTTCCAGGTACGTGATTGGTCCGTTTTTCTTTATCATAGCTATAAGAGTTTTAGAAGTGGCAAGTTTACCTCGGGAAGCGATACAGTTTGTTTGGAAACTTTGAATAAACAAAAATAGTGTTGTTTTGGAAGAGAGATCTTTTTATATACCTTGGAAAAATTAAAGACAATTTTTGCCTAGTATTTTTCTTATTGTTGAATCGTCAACACAGACCTAAAGCGATGTCTGGTAGGCAGGTTATTCCTGTTTCTAATTTCTGTCTAAATTTTCTTAATTTAGACCATTATTTTTTATTTTATTTTATTATTTAATTTATTGATTTAATTATTTAGAGCTTACTTCATTGGATAGCTTTTGTCCACAAGTGAGTTTTTTTTTTTTTTTTTTTTAATCGGCATTTTTTGCATGAATTAAGTGCAATGAAAATAAATATGACTGGTAAACAACAGAAACATTAGATTCTCGGGGTACATTTGAACAATTTCAATTAATAGTAAATATTAACAATTCCAAAAAGAAGAAACTTATGTTACTAATGGCTCCCGGTATTACAGCAGAATTCACTGTTAGGTAGTTTTGAACTGGAACTGAACAGTCTTGCACAGTTTTTTTAATGTTTCAGTTAAAAAAAAATTAAAATCACACAATATAGCGGCGAAGTTCACGTAATGCGACATCTTATCACCATATGTCTATGGCAGCCGTGAATGGCAGAAATGCACTACACTACTTTGGCCCCTAGGCGGGGCCCGTTCAATTCGCTGCAGCGACAGCAGCAGGGGTAACTAGAGGCAGAACCGCGGGTCGGATGAATATCCCATATTAAGATAATGGAGATGGAAAGACCATATTAAGACAATGCTGAGACGCTGACTCCTCGGTGAAAGACTGACCTGTGTTGTAACTATATTTGCCAGAGATAAAATGTTCCAGGCAAAGGGATCATAATATGTACACAAGGGCATCGTGTGTTGAGAAATTATTTATTGGAACATGACATTTGAGCAGAAAGTTGACCGGAATATTGTAATGCAGTGGTGACAAAGCGCACACAAACTAACTAACTGGTACCAAAACAAGGTTTGACTAAATGCCAAGGACAAAGTTTATTTACTTCAGATTCAAGATGGACGCTCCTTCCCATCCACTTTAAGCGAAAGAGTATAAACACCGGACTCTAAAATGAAAACCCACTGTTGTTTACAATTCATATTTATGCCACGAATCTTTGAATTACGTCCGACAGAGAAGAGTTGTATTGATCCAAAACTTCCTCATGCCTAATGACGACACTGTTGGGTGACCTATGAACCCAAGATATAGATTTCAGTTTTATTAAAACAGAAAAAGACAGAAAATCTACTTCTCCAGCTTTAAAAACTGTTCTGTTTGAGTCATCCTCATGAGTGTTTTTTCGTACGTCAGCCCCAGTCTACTACAACCCCTTGTTCTTTTTCACTATTTGATGTCATGTCTCATGTCACTACACGCACACACACACACCCCCCGTCCAGCTTATCTGTACTGGTGCTGAGATAAGTCGTTGTTGGCCCTCATGTTCTTGCAGGCCTTTGCAATATGCTGCTGCTGCTGATTTGAGGACACCACCAGGCTAGTAAAGGTGTCTTTCTTAGAACTTTATTGTTTTATATCCTCATTTATTATTAAAAAGGAAGGGCATATGGTAATTCTGTCTGCACACTTACATAAGGACTTTTACTGGGACTCCAACCATACAGTGACTTGCAAAAAGTAATCACACCATTGGAAACTCTTTAGAAAAACCTTTTTTTTAAATTGAAAAATTGTGTAAAAAAATTATTGCATGTTTTCAATACCAAAGCAATATCCTACAAATTCTTTCAAACCATGGTGGTGGCAGCATCATGCTGTGGGGGCCACAGTGTGTTGAGCTTAATACAAGGCAGAAATTAGCTGAGACTTAGAAATTAACCTCCACAGAATTCTCCATCCACTCCAAATGAGCCGGCGCTATTTTGCAAAGAAGACTGAACTATTTATGAATTTTATTTTGTTTCAAGAAGTTCAAAGCTGCAAGCCAAGACTTGCAGGTGAAGATATTTGATTACAGTGATTTTTTTGTTTGTTTGGACGAAACGTGACAAAACAGCAAATCAAGACAGAAATAGAGAAAGCAGATTATTTATTTTTATAAAACAAACGAAACGATCAGACAGAATCGGCTTGGTCATTGTGACTTTCTCTGAAAGCCAGCCGCAGACACAAAACGAGGTCCTGGTGTTAACATAAAGCCGACTCATTTCTACATTCCTCACATTTTAGTTTGTGAATTTATTTGTTTCTCATCCTACTTCTTCATATTCTACAAACCATGTGAGTTTGACAGAAATTTGTGTTCAAAGTTAAATATTTTGCATTCACTTTTATGATAAATATAGTCTTTGAGTTAATGTTAATAATAATAGTAAACATATTTTACTAATAATTCCCGTGGCTCCGTCTCCATCACAGACATATTTTTTCCCCACCATTTCCAAGCCTGATTCCTCAACATCAGCCTTAAAATTCCAACATGGCACCGTGACCACCGCGTCCGTCCCGAGTCACTGAACGCCCCCGTCCGAGGCCGCCCTCTTCATACTCGTCACTCCAGACTTCATCTTCGTTTATCCCTTTTAAACACAAGCTTTTGATCGGTGTTTCCTTCAGGACTTGAGTCCGACGTGCGCCATCATCTGCTCGTACACAGTCCAGGCCATGGTGGCCATCATGGTCCTCCTCAGGCACCGAGGAACCGCTCCCCTGAAGAAGCCTTCGAGGCCGTGAGCCTTGTTGGAGGAGACAAGAAAAACTATCAGAAAATGATGTCTGTATCGGGACTAGGGACGCACCGATCCACTTTTTTCACTTCCGATACCAATACCAATATCTGAGGTTTAGCATACAGAAAAATAGAGCTGAATTGGCTTAAAATGTTTATTTTTTTAAAAACCACAGACATAAATATACTGAATTACATATGTATCTGATAACTCTGCACCAGTGCTGCATACTTACTCTGCATGAAGCTAAGTCGTTTTTCATCTTGTTTTGTATAATCTTTATTTGCTTTTAGCCAGATAAATTACTCGTTGTCCAGAGACAACAGATGAAAAACAGCCTTTTGAAATGTTTGCGTGTATTGTCCCTACCAAACAAATTTAAAGGACTATAACTACGCCATTATCCAATCTAGATTTTTTTTAAATATTGGGAACAATGCAGGTGTTAATCAGATCGGTGCATCTGTAATCAGGAGGAAGGTAGTTACCGTGTAGATGTATCTGACGGCCTCCGTCGTCCTCAGCTGGGGGTTCACCTGGACATGTGTCTTTACGACGTCGGCTGGCTGCGTGACCAGAGAGGCCAGAACACCAGCCAGAACCCCACAGCTGAAGTTAGCCACAGGAGCCGAAGAAGAGGAACTGATCTCTTCAGGACGTAGGGGGGAACAAATTGCAGAATTAGCTGGATCAGAACAGAGATCTATTACAGTTAAAGTAAATGTGTGTATTGATTTCCTCACCTTGCGGCAGCGAGGCCTTGGCCTGGCTGTAGAACATGGCGTAGATCCCAGAGAAAGGAACGTCTCTGAGCAGGGTGGCCATGAGGCCGGAGAACAGAGCGGTGGGGCCCTCGCTCCGACACACGCTGCGCAGCGCGCCACTCACGCTCACGTAGCTGTACCTGCCACACTGGATCACAAACACAAGCCGGCCGCATTACAAATTGAATCCCAGACTGAATCCCACAGCATGTCTACGTGTTAGGATTGTCATAGTCAAGCTAGCTTAGCTGCTCATTGGAAGTTTTTTAAATTAAAACTTCCAACTGACTTTGTTTTCAAGGTGTCATAGTGTTGACAATTAGTAGAAAAGCATTGCAGACCTTTTTCTTTCATATGAATCACGTACAAACAAGATTTAGCACTTTATGTTGACAACTTAACAGCTAAAGCCAATGACAGTCATTGTCAGCCAGCAGCTTTTTGCCCTCCTTCTGGAGCTGGGGGTTGAGATCTTGCGTGTGAAATCATGTTTATATTTGCCAACATTTGAAAAAATAAAAAAATAAAAATAAAAACAGACAAAATCAAAAACTGCAATCAGTTTCAGACGGTAAACATTGCCCACCTCGAACCGCGTCTTGATGACGGTGATCGGCAGCATCACAACCCCCGCCACGGTCCGGGCCCCGCCTCCCAGCATCACGGCCTGCGCCGCTCCCGGCCTGCTGTCCTGGAAGAAGTGCTGCTTCAGGGAGTGATAGGAGCTGAAGTAGATTCCCACTCCTGGGATGGTCCGGACGAACGACTGGAGCACCGGATGGAGAGGAGGAGGAAGAAGAAAGCACCTTTAGAGATCATCTCCCCTCCGTGTGACTCAACGGTTCACGTGGTGAAACATTTCCAGCAGACCAACCGGAGAAATGCCCTTCCACAGACCCAGCAGCCGCTCCGTCCGCACCACACCGAGGAGCACCGATGTCATCCCGACCCGGCTTGACCTGAGGAAAAAAAAAAAGAAATAAATAAATGTAACAATCAGATAAGCAGGAAAACGCTTGAGATGAGGTAAAACTATTGGAAATTAATAAAATCGATCAACTCACCCCGGCTGCATGCCACTTTGCGAGGTCTGCAGGCGGGTCTTGACCAGGTCCAGAGGCTGGAAGAGCAGGGTGGAGCAGGTCCCGCTGAAGGAGCCACACACAAAGGCTTTAATAGCCGGGTGAGCCTGGCAGATCACGGGCAAGGAAGGTGAAATGATTTACAACGTAATAGAAGAAAATGTACTTGCTTTCTGAGAAAATTTGAGAAATACTTCATGCGATAGAAGAAGTGGAAAACCTCAATAGTGATGGATGCAATGGGAAACTCACCAGTGACAGTTCCATAATGCTTGAGGTAATTTTCTGTCGTCACGTTCCAGAGCTCTTCAGAGAGAAGTTGCAGCTGGGAGTTTTTCCCCTGCAGTGGATGAATCGGGACACGTTGAGCGGTTTATATACATGGAGGTCATCTGACCAACCCCGTGTTTCCCATTTGCGGCCCACCCCAACACACTGCCATTTATTAACCAACTCAGAGATCATCACGATACCCATCAGCAAGAATCCAGGTCACAGCTAAAAGATTTCTGTTGACCACAATTCAACAAATAAATATTTGTGTGTGAGATCATTTATATCACCTGAAATAACCAAGGCGGGAAAACATTTTCCTGTACCATAATTTAAAAAAATATATTAAAGTCCATTTAATATTCCATCATTGGCACACGGAATGTCCTAATAGCTCACCACATACTATACAAGCAGTCATTTTCAATTGCAATATTGCAAACATTATTTCTATGATTGGGATTCCATATTTGCAGTTGAAAATACATGCAAATATGTCAATATTTGTGGAAATTTGTCAATAAAGTAATAAATGCAGAGTTTTAAAACATGTTAATTTGAAGACAATCAAAATTACTGTATTATTTTAACAATTTTAGAAGAATGTTAATTTACTAAAATATAATTAAAGTGTTGAGTTTATATTTCTCTGTCCTGAAATTATTCGATTTAATGGCTGTGGCTAAATAAATCTGCTAAAGTAATTACATGTCTTTAACATTTTCATTAATGATTTTCAAATTTGGTATTATTCAAATTTACATTTTATTATTTTTTTTAAATTATTTATTGAATTGTGGCACTGTTTGTCCTGCATAGACGACCTGAAGGTTGCAAACAGTTATAATAAATGTACAATGTAAGTGCATGCCAGCATACTCATTTGTTGTCTCTTATGGAAAATAATAGCTAAAACCTCCACAATTAGTTTTCTACTGGTACAAAAAACATATTTAAAAAAAAAAACAGTCAATTTTCTTGCCTTAATTTTTTGCTGAAATATCTAGAAATTGACATTATTCACGTTAGAACTATTTTTTTTTGTTTTTCCTCTTTTTATGTAATAGAGAGAAAATAAAAATAAAACAACACCCGAAAATCACCGTGAAAGAAAGTCTTATGGAGTGATGAGTCTGTGGTTACTAAAACGCTCCTCCACAGTGGAGTTTTCTCACACTGTGGGCTCCAGGGGATAAAAAAACAACACTGGCAGACTACAGTATCAGTAAAAATAAATACTTCCACCCGCCTACCATATCCTGGACAGAGGCAGAAGTAAAATCCCTTCACTGCAACCAAACGCTGACCTTTTATCTGCTCCTTGCTTCCTGATTGAAAACCGGCCGGCGCCGGTTTGGAGAAGAAACCGTGCTGAGAAGGCGCGTGCGGTTGTAAGTAGGCCCCGCCCATCAGTGAGGATTTGGGGACGTGATTGGGTCAAAAAGAAACATTTCTGTGTTACGGGGAAATTTCACAATAATAATTGATTTAAGAGACATTGTGGTAAGGGAAAGGACACGGCGTCTGACGTGAAATTAAGCAAACATCGTTCTTCAAGCGGGTTAAAAAATACTTTATCGGACTGGCTTTAAAACATTTCTAAAATTTCCTGGTCAGGTAATGTCTTCCCTATCCTATCCTATCCTGTCAAAATATAATTTTTCCCTTATGTGACTGACTAGGAAACTCATACAAGACTTAAAGGAAAAACAGCTTTTAGAAAGAGACGTCTGAAGCGTCACGGCCCTGTATGAACCAGCTGAGAGCGGTTTCTGCCGTTCAGCCGGTTCTGACCTGTTTATTCCCACATCAGCTTTTATTATAGACCATTACTGCCCTCTGCTGGTGAGAACAAAGTCCTCATGAACCCTGAACTTTTTCATATCTCAACCACTAAATTTCAGAACTTGATCCGATAGACCAGCAGAATGTAGTTCACAATATTAACAGAATGAAAAAACAAATTAGCAAATTTTTGTTACTTTTTTTGAGTCAATATTGTGGAAACACCTTTCAATATGATCATGGCTGTCCTTTGGGGTCTTTAGCACCGTTACGTACATAGGCTGAAATGGTTGCTCATCTGTATTTGTATCTCCAAGTTCAGTGAACCTGGACAGAGGAGCTTTCTTTTTCATTTACATGTTACCATAGATTTTTTAAATTTGCTTATGGCCTGGATCATTCTAATAGAGAATGTTGTGATCTAAATTTCATTGTGGATTTGGCTATGTTAGTTTAAAGTTGTCCTTTGCTGCATTCAAAAGATTTTCTTCTGGTATCGTCCTGCATTTAACTGGATTCATCTTTCTTGAAATCTGACCGGCTTCCTTGAGGCTGTTATATAAATAAAATAAAAAAATAAAAATCAGATTTATAAAGGTGACCTATTATACGTCCTTTAACACTTTGGGATAGGTCTTTAGGGTCATCAAAACATCATCTTTTCCAGCAGCCATTGTACAGCGCATACAGCAATTTTTGAATTGCCTCATTTTCCAGATTAAAAAAAAAAAAAAAAAAAAAAAAAATAGCAAAAAAATGGGGGGGCAGTTTTTTTTTAACACTT